AGAGAGAGAGAGAGAGAGAGAGAGAGAGAGAGAAACAGAAACAGAAACAGAAACAGAAACAGAAACAGAGAGAGATACTCACCAGTGGCTTTATATTCCTGGGGATGGGGGCAGGTGAACAATACAGTTGTCTTAGGGGGATCACAATGTGAAGTCAGATCTCCCTCCCAGGCTGGCCAGAGTCGCCTGAGAAGTCCTCCTCAGTTCTGTCTGAGCAGATCCAGTGGCTGAGGCCAGCAAAGGATCCCGTGAAATGTACTTTCCCAGAGTAGTTATTGTTGGATTGGGAAGCATGGGGTTGTGGGGTACTCTTCTCACTCCAGAGTGGAATAAGATTCTCTCTCTTTTCTTCTCAGATTGAGCACATTAAAATGTTTGTCCTAGGAGCTCAATGTTGCTCAGAGGACAGAAGAGAAGTGACAGATGTGTTCTCCTCATGCTGGAACACTATGAAGACACGCTGTTGGACACAGAAGGCAGCATAGCATGATTATCATCCCAGGACCATTGTTTTCATGTCACATTATGGAGGCACATAGACAGATGTACCGTCCACATCAGTCACACAGACTTTTCTGTGTCTCGTGCTGGGGCAAGTTGGCACCGTTTAAGGAGAAAGAACACACAAGACGAGACCTTACCAATGTGACTGTGGGATGGACAGGGGAGGCTTCCAGGAAGCTCGCCCAAAGATTGTGCAAAAGCCTGCTTACCTGTGCAAGAACAAGCCACCTTAGGGATATGATCCTCTGAGTCAGACTTGGGCTGGCAAGAGGCAGGGCCCACAGCAGGTTGCTGCCCCTCATAAGGGTTTCTGGTTCGATCCATATCACCACACCTATCAGTGCCTCATGGTGTGGCATGTGGTGGTGAGTGTCAAATCCAGTTCCCAATGGGAATGGTGGCCTTGAAGGAGCAAGCATGGAGAGGCAGCAGGTGAGTAACTAGAGGGCAGAATTGGTGGAGAGAGAAGGCTCAGCCGGCCCTGGAGTCACTCCTCAGTCGATATTGTCCCAAGCTTTGCTCTGAGTTGGGTCTGAAGACTCAAGCAATGTACCTTGCTGTGATGACTTTTGATGACTCTAGAGGAGTCCTACAGGGCTGCTTACTGTCCACATCCCCTACCTGGGAACTCATCTTGGGGCAGGTAGTACAGGCTGACTAGAAATACTCTCCCTGGGGAGAGAAGTCTCACGTCATGGAGAAGACCGTGTTCTCTGTCCCAAAACAGGGAGCAAAGGAGAGTCACTACCCAGAGGGCAATCTCTGATGTTTAGCCAGGAGGGGAAGAGGGCAAGGGACTATTGTTCCAAGAGACAGCTTAGGGCCCGTTTGCACCTCAGCCCTCCCCTCTGAGCAAGACCCTGTGAAAAGCCTGTCCTTCCTGCCTGGGATTTTACCTGGAGAAATCTGCGCTGGGGTGGTCAGCTCTTCCTCTGCAGGAGGGACCTATGTCCATTCTGCCTCCTGGACATCTGGCCTGGCTCCCCGTGGGGCTGTCCGACTCTCAGCCAGGCTGGTCCCCAACCCGTGGCTCAGAAGCCATGGAGCTGGGGCTTGACCTCTTCAGGACTACAAAGCAGAAAGACACAGGAAGGAGACTCTTAGTGGCTTTGGAACACACAGGACTTACTGGGCTGGCCCTGCAGTGCCTAAGCACCCCACTGGTCCTACATGGGATGTTTGCCTCCTTTGACCTTGCCCCGCCTCCTGCTCTCCCTGCTCTCATCAGCATCTCTGTGTCCACTTGTAGCTCAACGAGTCTGAGGTCACACTTGAGGGGATTCTCTGGGATTGGTCTGTCTGAAGTGACAGGTTGTTAGGTTCACAAGTGTGCCACAAGTGGGCACAGTCATCATTTATCACAAGGGACAGGAGGAGAAGCACAAATAAAATGAAGGAAGTGCACCCACCTGGTTCTGTGGGTGCACTGATCCCTTTTCTTTGGAGCCAGGTTCTTGCAGGAGCATGGCCTCTCTCTGCAGGTGGCAGGCAGCAGCAACAGAGGTTTCTGAGGCAGTTCATAATTGTTTTCTTGACCCCCTTCCAGCTGTGGTGCCTCGGGGTTCGGGAAGGAGCTGGGCCTGCAAGCTGGGGCTGGCCATGGGTGATGGCCACTTCCTGGGTGATGGCCATATCCAGAGTGATAGCCTCTTCCTGAATGATGGTCTCAACCTGGGTCATGGTCGTTTCCTGGGTCCATGTCACTTCTTGGGTGATGGCCTCCTCATGGGCCATGGTCTCTTCCTGGGTCTTGGTGGCTTCATGGGTGATGGCCTCATCCTGGGTCATGGTCGCTTCATGAGTTATGGCCTCATCCCGGGTCATGGTCTCTTCCTGCAATGTATCCCAAGGGGAGGAGCCTGTGGGGGTGAAATACTGAGATGCCTCCTGGGAGCTCCAGAGTTCCTCCTGTGGACTGCAGGAGGACAAGTTGTTGTCTGTGTCACCTGGAGTCTCACTCTGGTGTGGCCTAGGAGAGGAGGTGTCCAGAAAGAGAGGTGGCTGGACACTGGCCATGTGGCTGCCGAATGACCCGATCTCGGACTGTGTGAAATACTCAGTGATTTCCAGGTTGCTGCCCATGATGGAATCAGCCACAGGACAGCCCAGGTGAGGTAGGTGGGGAGGGTGGTTCCTCTTTGGCTGACAGCACAGGACGGCAGGCATGCTGTGCCTTGTGCCACCCTGCCTGGCATTCTTCTCATCTCTCTCCTTGGTCTTAGATGGCAAGGTGAAGGTGGGGGGAGCAGGCTGGGTAGCTCTCCCTAAGGACACAGGGAAAGTGTCATGATCTGCCAGGTTGAGGACAAGGCCTGACTGCATGGCTCTCTCTGGTTTCTCCTGGTGATGGTAGCAGTCTCCCTTGGGTGACTGGTGCTGTAGAATTAGGTAACTGTCCACCACCTGGTTGTATTTATGGTCTCTTAGAGACTCAATGGTTTCTTTGGATTTATACCCCATGACTGTCATGGCCCTGACAATGCTCGGGGTGCCTGGGAGAGACTGGGTGGAGGTAGGCGGTGAATGTGCCTCACTGCTCCTGACCATGGGGTGCCTCATGATTTCGCCTATGGTGAGCCTCCTGTAGGGGTTTATAATCAGCAGTTTGAGGATGACATCACGAATATCAACGGAAACATGCGGAGGCACCCTGAAGTCTGCAGTGAGGATCTGCTGTATCACCCTCACAGAAGAGTAAGCTTTGAAGGGAAGGCTCCCAGTCACCATGAAAAAAAGGAGCACACCTAAATTCCAAATATCAGTAGCACGGCCATCGTATGTCTCCTTTCCAAAGAGTTCTAGAGCACAGTAATTCAGAGTGCCACAAAACCCAAAAAGCCTCTGCCCAGGGATGACCTTAGCAGAGAGGCCAAAATCACACAGCTTCGCATTACCCCTATGGTCGAGGAGGATGTTATTGGCCTTTATGTCTCTGTGGATGATAAATTGATCATGGCAATACTTCAGGGCATGCACTATCTGGGTAAACAGCCTTCGAACCTTGCTCTCCTCTAAGGCCCCCAGTTTCAGTATATGATGGAGCAGGTCTCCCTCTGATGCATGCTCCATCACCAGGTAGGTGGTCTCTCTGGTCTGGACCACATGAAACATTTTAATTATGTTGGGATGGGCAAGGGATTTCATGATGCTGATTTCACTGTTGATAAGCAAAGCATAATTCTTCTGATTTCTAAGAATTTTTACCGCCACACAGGATACAGTGGGGATATGAAAGGCCAGTTTGACCTCTGAAAACTGTCCTTGGCCCAGGGTCGTCATCATCTTATAGTCAGCAGTGAAGGTCTCCTCAGGAGAACAGCAGGCCTCCCCGCCCTGCTCCATGGTCGGGTCCTCGTTGATACGGCTAGAACAAAACTCTCAATGGGGGAATTTTAAACAGTCCAAATCAGGCTCCTGTGACTGTTTATCAATACAAATTCCTACATCCAAAAGGAAAAGAAAGTCAGAGATACTTCAGACAACCTAACAGGGACTCAATGCTCAGGAAGAGAAGAAAGCACCTTCCAAAGCAGCACACAGCAGAATAAGACACAGATCGGGTTGGTCAGAATCAACCAGAAACAGAGAATAAAACAAGGGGTCACAGAAGCTAAGAGACGTTTCTTTGGAAGGATAATCATCCTCTTACATGAACTCAATTCTCACTGAGAGAGAAGGCACTAATAAAATCAGATGAAAGAGCACTTGATAAGACAACAGACACCCCCAAACCCAGAGAACCTGGGTTTGGAGATGGCTCAGGAGTTCAGAAGACCTGTATGTGATTCTCAGGACCCAGGTCAGACGACTCACAACTGCCCTAACTCCAGCTCTAGGTGAGCCTACACCTCTGGCCTCTGAGGGCATCCATACAATGCATGCATGTGCCATGTGGGCAGACACACACAGACACATGCACAGACACATGCACACTCGAGGGTGCCAACATGCACACTCACAGGTAGTACAAATAACTTAAAATATTGATGCTTTTTGTATGATTTCTTTTCCATGACCTAGAAGGTCAGAAGAGGGCATCAAATCCCCTAGAAATGGAGTTTCAGGCAGTTATGGTGGGTCATGGGAGTGCTGGGAGGCAAGCCTAGGTCTTCTGTAAGAACAGTACATGCTCCTACCTGCTGGGTAATCTCTCAAACCTACCCCACCCCAAAATTAATCTGTTTTTTAAACCCGGAGGGTCCTTATCATTGATTGGAAAATGTGAATAAATTTGAGAAACTTCTAGATACAAATTCAACTTGAGAAGAGACAATAAACAACAAGATTAAAGTATTTTTGATAAAAGACTCTGCACAGAAAAGCCCAGGACCAGGCACTTACTGATGATTCATTCCAGCCCCTAAAGAACAAATGTCAGTGCTCCTCCAAACTGCACAAAATAGAAAGGACTTAACAGTTCCAAACTCATTCATGCCTAAGCCAGGAAAGGACACTATTAAGAAAAAAAAGGCTGTTTCCATAATGAACATGGATGTGGAATTCCTTAATAATAGTACTAATACTTCTCACCAAATTCCACAACACATTAATAAGGCCATAGTTGATGGTTAAAACACACTCACAAGGATCCTTACAAGGATTGCTCTGCATGCTTAGAGGACAAATTACACAATATAGAAACGGAATGTAGGGCAAGAGTGCCACAGTCAAGCCATGGGAAGCCATCCAGGATGAAACTGGGGCTCTCAACAAGGACAGACTGGAGCAGATGCTTTACCTGGGAAAAGCCAGTCCTGCAAATGTGCTGCTTGTTTTCTCTCCTCTGTGGGATTTGGGAGCAGGAGGAGGTTGTCAACTTAAAAAGGGTTTACTAGGAAAGTGGAGGGGGAAGTGGGAGAAGAAAGCATAACAGCACAGGTTAATCACATGATGAATGTGATCAAAAATGCATTACAGGTGTTCCTGTGATTGTCATAACTAAATCGCTTCTATGTGCCATATCCCATACCAAGAACAGGCCTGAAATGGGAGGAATAAATGAAGAAAAACATGACAATAAAGGAAGAGGTAAAGACAAACACAGAGGGGCTGGAGAGATGATTTAGTGTTTCAGAGCAACTCCTGCTCTTTCATAGAACCCCGGTTAGGTCCCCAACAGCCACATGGTGGCTCACAACCACCTGTTACTTGAGCGTCAGCTCATCTGTCTCCCTCTTGTGACCTCCACGGGTACCAGGTATGTGGCACACAGACATACATGGAGACAAAATACTCATACCCATAAAACAAATATATCAAAACATTCTACCTCAGTAAACATAACCTAAAAATGAATACAAACTGGTGGGCAGTGGTGGCACATGCCTTTATTTCCAGCATTCAGGAGGCAGAGGCAGGCAGATCTCTGAGTTCAAGGCTAGTCTGGTTTACAGAGTGAGTTCCAGAAAGGCTAGAGCTACACAGAGAAACCCTGTCTTGAATTACCCCCCACACCAAAAAGAATAGAAAGTCAAATAGAAGATAATAAAGAACATGAAAAAGTGAGTGGAAAAATAAAGCAAGCCAATAGACAAATTCACTGAGAATAAGAAACCAAATAAAGTCAACAGACTTGGAGAGAAACTCACAGTGTCGGGGTCCAACAGCTCCCAAAAGTCCACGTCAACTCTTTCTTTCACCAGTGCCGAACACCACCTCTCCAACCAACCAGCAGCTCCTGCACTGTAAGGACAGGAGGCAGCCTCAGCCAGAGCTGTGAGTGCACAGGTGTCTGTCATTGTGGCATCACAGCAAGAAATGGATCAATGAGGGCTCGGCACAGCTCACTGGTCTGGCCAGTGGGGCAGTAGGGGCCTGAGGAGCCTGGTTACACTCAAATGGCTGTCCTCAGTGTTTCCCAGTGACCCATTTCTTCCTGTTGGGCCCATTTCCTGTGGTCCAAAAATTCCCCAAATGGTGTCACCTGGTGGGACCAGTGTCCAAACACTTGATTCTTTGTGGGCCATTGACACCCAAACCTTAACAAGGACCCTTCCACTTTAATAATAAAACAAGGAGTCCTAAGAATGGCAATGGCTCCAGAGCATTGGCCCTGCCTTGGTTATAGACTGATAGTCTCCCCTTAGTAGGTGGAGAGTGTTTTGCTCTTAATTTGGACCCTAGACTTTGGTGACAATTTGTAATAACTCATCATGTCTACACTCAAAGAATTCTAGTTATATTATTTTTAACTCAGATCAATGGGTCCTATAGGATGACAGCTCCTGACTATATTGGGATGTTGTGAGAAAATAGTTTTCCCTGGCACCCCAGGACCTAGGACTAACATCTGTGGGGCAGGGAGAAAGTTGACACCATTTGTCTCATGGTCCCCATTATTCCTGAGACTTCTCACCACAGTCCAGGATCCCAGAAGACAGTGGCCTGATATGTTCAAAATGATCAAGAAAGTACTTGTCAGCCAGAACCCTATAGACAACATGTGTAAGAGATGGAGCCCTATCCTGGCACCCTAGGCCTTCTGCTCTCAAACAAAATGCCTTAGTTTGTCCCTTATAAACAACAGAAATCGGTTGCTTGTGTGTCTGGACATTGGCAAAGCAAGATCAAGATACCAATAGTTACCATGAGTGTGTAACAGGGCTGCTTTCTAACACTGATTGGTCCTTCCTATGCATTCCCTCGTGGTCAAGGAAAAACATGAACTCAGTCTATCAAGCCCTTTTCTAGAGTGAGGCCACATGTTCTGCTGTGTGGCAAGTCTTTAGTGGTTGTGAGTGCCCAGATCTTAATTAATACTGTTGTTTTGTGATTGATGCTTCAACAGAGATTTGGCAGGACCCAGATACAGACTCACACTTATATACACACTACACATACTACACACACACACACACACACACACACACACACACACACACACCCCTCACAATTAGATATGATACAACACGCTGTGTCCGGCCTGAGAGGAGTCCTTCAGGGCAGCTGATGTACATTATATAGGAGCTCAATGGGAAAAAACAGGAAAGTATTATGGGATATTTGATGGCACTGAGAATCTCAGAGACTGGTAATAAAATTACCCTTGGTTCAGGTGGTGGAGCCAGCAACTAGTTGATAGGAATTAGCAATAGAGCAGAAGGAGGAACCAGCAATATAGATAGAGAGAAGCCCAGGATGGGGGAGTAAGGGACTTAAGAGAATTTTGGGTCCTTTTGGTTCAGGACAAGTGTAGAGACCCTTTTCTCCTTGGGTCTCTGGCCACAAAGGAAGGTCTTCTGGTTGCTTCTCGGCCTCTCTCATCTAGCAGGTTTTCTCCCCCAACATCTGATTCTCGAGTCCTTATTGGTAAATAGAACAATAGAGTCTTGTTCCTGGACATGCTCTTTGAGCTCTTAGGCCAGCAGAACTGATCCTTTGCTTCAAAATCATTATTGTCCCCATCCTCTGTGCGTGATAGCACAGAGCTTTAGTCCTGTGATCATACCCCCCACTTACATTAGGAAATGAAAATGACCCATGAAAGGACAGCTTCCATCAGACAGAAGGACAGAAGATGGTGGAGGGACAGTGTGGTAAGTCCCACCAAGGAAAGTTCTTTTCTTCCTCAAAGAACAGGCTCTTTTTAGACTTTCATTTTTTTTTCTCCTTGAATTCTTTTCAGCTGCCCTGTTCCATACATAACATCAAAAAATGGAAATTCATCTCTGACCTGCTCAGAACCATGACTTTTGACCTGCCAGCCTAAGTTAATCACCCAGGAGGAGACTTTTTCCTGAAGCACAGACACAATCTGTGCCCTTCCTTAAACACCCTCTAGGTAGACAGTGGTGATGCACGCCTTTAATTCAGCACCAGGGAGGCAGAGCCACTCTGATTTCTGAATTTGAGGTCAACCTGGTCTACAGAATGAGTTCCAGAACACCAATGCTACACAGTGAAATCTTGTCTTGGAAAAAACACCTCCCCCCAAATAAAAACAAAATAGAAAAAAGAAAGACTATCCAATGGGGCCTCTCAGTTCTTGGACTAGGAGTCCACAAAAAATAGAAAGAAAGAGCCTGAAATAAAAAGGGAAGCACTAGAGACTTAGAATCAGTGGGCAGGAGTTAGTGAGATGATAGGAATGTGTTCAAAGTTCATGTACATATATGGAAATATCACTGAGATTATTAATGCATGCTGTGCAGCTAATATAAACTAATGTATGTTTTTTAATTGTGAAAAGGCGATAAATCAATGTGAAAATGACAGATATCAAGAACGAATACAAAAATAAAGTGGGAGATTATAAAGAAAAATAAGAGTAAGGACAATCATTCCTTCAACCAATAAATGAATAAATAAACAAAAAAGCTACAAAAGCCATGGCCTCAGAAGGGAACTCATGCTGATGAGGTTCATCAGCTTCGCAGAGTCCTAATGAAGCTCACCAGTGTGAAGATTCACCAACAAACAGCTACCATACTGTGTGGACAGAAACCAGGCCTAATGCGTTCTGTATATGGCCAAATGTCTATTATTCCTCACAATGGCTTCTGTGACATTGCAGCAAAAGATGAATTAATCAAGTCTCAGCACAAATAATGCTGATTTCCTCAGCTTCTGCACTTGTGGACAGGGATGGCCTAGTAGTAGGAAAAGCAGGTACCTAGGGTAGTATGGACCTGAGGAGGCTGGTTACTTCCAGTTTTCCCTTGTTGCCAGCGATCGACTTCTTCTGGCAAGGCCCCCATTCCTAAGATCCACACCTTCCCCAACAGTGACTCCTATTCAAACCCATGATTCTTTGTGGGACATCTGCCATCAAAACCATAGGAAGGATACTTTCCACTTTAATAATAATAGAAGGAATGTTGGTCATGCCAGCAACAGGCTCCAAGTATTGTCCTTCAGTGGGTTGTGGACACTGATATTCATCTATTAGTGGACAGGCAGCGTGGTTCCTTTTTCACTTGCTCCCTAACACTTTAATAACTATCTACTTATAAAGCTCAACATATACACACTCAAGAAAGTCAATTCCCTTCTCATTAGACGCAGACTATGGAGAAATGGATGGTGGTCTCTGGTTGACATTGGGAGTCTGTGATGGCTAATCTTGTCACCTTGAGTATATTAGGAATGAACTGAAACCCAGGCAGTGGGGCACACCTGAGAGGGATTTTCCTCTGTTAAATTATTTGAGGTGGAGACTGTCCCTAATTCTGGATCCTATGAGCCAGTAGATCCACCCTACATCTGGCCCACACCTTCAGCTGGTAGAAGGAAGCTTGTACTTTTTCTATCTGCTTGCCCTCACTCTCACTGGCAAATTCATCTAGTCTGAGCCTTCCTTTGCCAGTGTTAGAACCCACTTCTTCTGGATTCCAGTGTAGACTGAAAACTGGGAACTCTTTAGGATCTTCCTGGGACTCCAGCACCAGATTGGGTCTGCTAAGTCACCCAGTGTCTTGGTTATTGTTCTTTTGTTGTGAAGAGA